CTCCTACCGCATTATTCTACACCTCACATGCTTACCACAGGGCCACCATCTACCACTCAACACCCGCTCCCAAAATAACCCCTTCTCCAAACGCCTAAGTACTCATCTTCCCAAACCATGAGCTTGGCTTCTTCCAGCTGCCTCAACTCTGCACTGACTTCCCACTGGGACCCACTAGGCTTCTCACTGTGGGGCTGATGACAGGCTCCTTCATCATTTCATTCTGTTTTATCTCCCCTACTATTCGATTTGTCAGTCTATACAACATGGCAGCCTAGCAAGATCCTGAACGGTGGCAGACACTCAGTAAGCAATGGTGCTGCTGATTAAAGAGGGAGAAGGTGACCAACATTTAGAAGTCTCCTGTAGTGATCCATCACACAGAAAATGGGCATGAGCAGAGTGAAAAAGATTTTAACATACTGGAAAGAATGAAGAGAAATAAAATGATTATTTAGTCACAAATGGTAAGGGAGACATAAAAATGACTCTGAGATTCTAAGCTTGAGAAACCAAAAGCAAACTAGCATCTAGCACCTAGTATGTGTTCAGTGGTCACTGGGGGAAGAAAAAGAAAGAGTGGGGCGGGGGGAGTAAAGGAGGGAGGGAGGAAGGGAACAAGGCTGTGCATTGTCGGGGACAGTTCAGACTCAGACAAGTTCAATGTCAGCTGCTAGTAGACAAGTTGGAAATGTAGGACAGAGGATCAGAGACAGCTTAGGCTCAAGCTCTGGATTTAGAGTTATCTGTCCAGGCAAATATTCGAATCTGCAGACAAAAATAAAATCCATGAGGAAGAAGAAAGAAAGAACAGAGAATCTGGGAGATACAGGAATTGTAAAAAGTTCTGACAGGGAATACAGGGCTAGGAGGTGGTGGTACATAATAGAGCACTGAAAAATCAAATGGGGGAACAGCTTCAACAAAGAGAGTAGCCAACGGTGTCACTTAAAACAGACCAGTCAAAACAGCTGTCCCTCAGCAAATAACTCAAATGCCACCTCTTCTAAGAAGCCTCCGCTGATTGCGCATCAGAAGGCTCTCTTCCTTCTCTGACTCATCGTATTCCTTCCCATCATCCATACCACTGAAGGGACATCTCCCCTTCTACCAGGTATAAATGGCATTACTGAAATCCCCTTATCTCCCCTCCTGCATGCTCTAGCAGAGGCTTGAATGTATGCATACTCACTAAATCTCTGCAGAATAGATGAATATAGAGCAAACAATTCTCCTATGTATGCTTTTCTGGAATTACTCCCTAAATTCAATTTATAAATGTGTGCCTATAAAACTAAATCACAGGTTGTTTGGGATTTATTTGTTCTAACACAAACTCCAGTTCAGCGCAATTTCAGGACACATAACACCTACAAGCATTCTCACTTTTTAGTCCACATTTCAAAGACAATAAAGAGGACGAATTTTTCACAAAGTCGTTTGCAATTAAGCATAACCTAAGCTTACAAAAGTATGTGTTCTCATTATCTTTTACTTTCTTGTAAACAAGCCAAATCTCTTTAGCGTTTCCATTTCTCAACTTTTTGTTGAGGGTTTTGTGGGGGTTTTTTTTAATGCGTCCAACAGCTTCCAAGGTAATGGCCTTGAGAAGAATTCCATGATAAAAGAGAACTTACGTTCTTACAGCAAGCAATAACTGGGCATTTTTATAGTGGTTAAATCATGAACGAAAAAGCAGAAAGTGCCACTCCAAGAAAATTAACGAATCACAGTCTGAGAATGTTCCACTCTGCAAGTAGAAAAACACATTAGCAATGAGACCTTTATAAAGCATTAAACCAACAATCAAAGAAACCACCACTCAAAACCCCTTATGTTCTCTCTTCTTTTATAGCTTAGTTTCTTGTGAAAGTAGAATACTTTTTTTTTTTTTGCAAGTTCTACCTTGAATTTATACTCTAAATCACTACAAGTCAGCTGCTGCCCATCCACTGCAATTGCTCTCAACAAGGCACCAGTGACTTGCCACTTACAAATTAAATGGACACCAAGACCCTATCCTGCTTAAGCTTTCAGGGCATTTGCCACTGTCACCCACTCCTTAACCTCCCCTTTGCTTCCACAGAATGCACCCTCTCCTGCTTCTCTCTGCACCTCCTCCTGCTCCCACCCTGTAAGTGTGGGTGGGCGAGCCCTAGGCCTCTGTCCTCGGTGCTCTTCTCTCATTCCCACACTCTCCCTGCGCAGTCTCACTGACACCCTGATGGTCTGGCGGCCCAGAAATCCTCTTGTAATGCAAACCTACGCCTCGGTCCATACAACAGACCCTTGGGCACTGCAAGCCTCGCAAAGACAAAACTGCAATCACTTTCCTCCCGCGCCTGCTCTTTCTGGTTAAATGGCACCATCATGCATCCAAGCCAGAAACCCGGAGTCACCTTAATTCCAGCCTCTCCCCGCAAGTCATGGTCACGATCACATTGTCAGTTCAACCTCCCGAGCGTGACGAGAACTTGTCCTCTCCTTTCCATCTTGACTGCCCCTCCTCAGCTCAAGTTCCCATCACCTCTCATGCGCATCTCTGCTCCTACCTACTCATCATGCTCCTGACTCCAGATTCGCTCCCATCAACCTCAGTTCACTCCTTTCCTTCTTCTTCTAGAATCATCTTCCTAAACGTAAACCCGTTTTTAATCCCCAACATAAAAATCTTCCAAAAGCTCCCATTTGCTTTCAGGATTAAGATCACAAAGACCATGGAATGAAAGGCCCTCAGCAATGTGCCTCATACGAAAGCTTTCAACCTAAACTCTCCACGTGCCGCCTTCACTCCACTTCCACTCCCCAGTGGCTCTCAGGGTTAGCTGTGGAACCTCCAGTCTCCCCAAGCTCATCCACAGCTCCTCTGCTTAGGTCAATCTCCTACTCATCCTTTAGGGAACAGCTCGCCGACCACCTCTGAACATCATTAGCCACCGCTCATGATAGTGCTCATCACACTGGCTGACAATCACAGGCAGCGGTCCTCTGTGCACTTCCCCTCAGACACCGATGAGGCCCGTAAGGCAGGTGGTCCACGTGCCCACATCTCTGAATCACCACCTCTACTAAAGAGCCTTAGGTTCGATGCTGCCAAAAACAAGTAACGCAGAAATCTGCACATCTTACATTGTCAAGCATTATTATAATATCATGTTGGTTTTTCCCATACGACATTTCTTTCCCTATGTCAAAGATAAGCTACATCCCGATTTCAGAGATTGTTAAAATGTGAAATACTGGAGTCTATGAAATACAGCACATGTAAGTAAAATAAATCATAAAAACTTCATGTACTTTGTCCTCATATTAGAAAAGCATCTGAAAAATCCAAGTGCTAGAAAATCCAAAGCCTTCTAAAATTACTCTTAAACAAAAGCAACACCTATGTTGTCTTAAAATATTACAACAGCTCCCCTTTGAAATATACATTAAGCAGCTACTGCTTCCATACCCTGGTTATGGTAGCCACAACACAAATCATTTACCTACTAAAATTCAAAGAACTTCAAAATAAAGTCATGGAAAACATTTTCAAAAGTCCGTTACATACGCCTGCCCTCCCAGGCCCGTTCTGCCACCCTCCCATCCCCCAGGCCTGGCCTCTGTCTCCACAGACCCCTCAGACACCCAGAGAGGACACACTTCTCTGACACTCTATTTCCTGAGCAATCTCTCTTAAAACCTGCAATGACGAGTCCCCAGGCTGACCTCCTCACTACCTCCACGTCCCAGCCCTGGCTTCCTGCCACCAGCACAGGGCCCAGTCCTCCCTCCAGGGTCCCTCCACCTCTCCTGGCCCCATTGCTCTCTCCTCTCCCCTCTCAAAACCCAGCCTCTCTCCTCTCACTCTCCTGTCACCTCACTCCAGTGACAGTGTGTCCCTCTCTCATTCACTGTACCCTCTGAAATCTGGGCTCTGATGGGCTGGGCTTGGGGGAGACAGATTCACCTTCTGTCCACTTCTATGTACCTCTTCCCCAGGGCAGACAGGGTCTGCTTTGAAAGGCTAAAACTACCTGAACATGTAAGACACAGAACCCCAACATCATCATACTTTCCTTGGAACAGTGAGCCTTAGTATTCGGGAAGAAGGGGGACAATGGGATAAGTTTTGCAAAGAAGCTTCAGAGTGTCACCAGCTCATACTTTCAGCTGTTTGTGAACAAGCCATCGTTATCCTAGAAATTTCCAAGCATGCTTCCTTACTTGCAAGAGTGCTCAAAACTCTCCAAGCTATCCTAGGAGGGTCCACATTGTCCAGTTCTCAACTAACCCACTAAATGCAAGGAATGGATAGGTATTTCTCTAGACATAGTATTTTAGGTCATGCATTGATGAATACACATCTAATATATGGTAATTAACCATATCTGTATGTTTTATAAAATAAGAATGTGAGTGAAAAAAGGAACTCTAATGATACTCTATTTGCTAATCAGGAAATGAAAGTACAGGAAGCTGCCACCTAGTAAAACTTAGGAGACAAGCACAAAAGGTGATCCTCTCCAAAAAGACAAATTCCTACAAAGTACATGCTAATCCCCAATAGAATGGCTCACAGGGCCACTGATTTTCTTTACACAATTGATTTGCAGTCAAGTCTAAGGAGAAAAGCCAGTTAAGGGAGTACTGTAAGTTAGAAGAGCTGCTATCATGTGGGACTAACCAAGATCTACCAAAGGAGGTACCATGTCACTTGAGTACATGACCATATACACAAACACCTCAGGGAAGTAAGTGGTAGTAAGTGTGTCGTAAGTTCACTGTCCGGACTGCCTGCATGGCGTCAAGGACTTGTCAGTATTTCTTACAAGACATCCAAGTTTTCCCCACCAGCCTCTAAGCAGCAAATCCCTGCTCTGGGGTCAACCACCTTCCCATCCCTGCCCCCAGAGAGCGATCGGAGAACAGGCAAAGGAAGAAGCCATGGTGTTTGAGGCTGAGGTGGAGGCCTAACAAATCACGGAGAGCCTGAAGATGACTTAAAACTGGTCTTCACTACCGTTGGGATCAAAAAATATGTACATGATTTCATTTAGCGCCTATTCTCTGTTGCTTTGTCTCCTATGGTTCCCATCACATGTGATTTTCTCTGTTGCTTTGTGATTTTCTTCCAAACAATGCAAACTCTATTTCTAACTCAGGGCCCTGTTGAACTCTCACCGGCATCCTCAAAGTTCTTTGGAAAACATTACCTTTTACCTCCCTCCCTTTTGAACACTAACACCACTTTCTTCAAACTCAAAGGCATTTATGTGTATATCCGTCAGACATGTTTGCTTTTACAAAAAGAGCAGCACTGAATCTTCTGCATAACAATGCCATCATTCTCTGTCAGCATGCTCTCTAATGAAACCATTTAATGACAGCTTAGTATTTCACTTTAGGCATATGATACAAGGTACCTAACTAATCTATTTTTATAAACATCAGTGATTTCCTATTTTAGGCTATCATAAGCAATCATACAATGAAGACACTTTCTTAAAATATATTTATGTGTGTATCTGTCTGATGATTTCCTTAGGGTAAATTATTAGAAATGGAATCGATAAACCAAGTTATGCAGCCCACCACTATATCCCTTTTAGGTCTCTTACTCTATTGCCAATTTATCCTTCAAAAGTTATTCCAATTTACTTTTTATTTATGCATCATTCAAAAAAATATTTATTTTGTGCCAGGCATTACCAACACAATCATTAATGTAACAGACACAGTTCTTGCCCTCAAGGAGCTTACAATCTAAAGGAAGGGACAGAAACCCACACCATCACAACTTCTTCATTACAGGCTGAGGTACGCTAAGAAGGAAAAGCACAGGCTTTTTCAAAGATCACAGGAATTATTTCCATAGAAATAATGGTTCTGAGCTGGGGCTAAGATTTCCTATTGGAAATCGGCTGAAACCAGGTCACAGAGAATCCGGATAAAATATTCTAAGCAAAGGGAATGTCGACAAAGCCCCTGAGAAGGGACAGGACCTGACTCGTCTGAAAAAAATGTAAGCAGCTCCCTGAAGCTGGGGCACCAAGGGAGAGGAAAGATGAAGGGGCGGCCAGAGCACACAGGCCCCCCAGCAGCAGGCGCAGCAGCAGCTGACTTCCTGCGCTCTCCCAATGGTGAGGACAACACTCACTAGCCATGGGCTAGAACATTGCATGGCAGTCAAAGCCTAAAGAACTAACAACTGAATAATGACACAATAAGCTATAAATAATCATAAAAATGGATGTAAGTAAACATATTCTGAAAAGGAATGTGCTTTCAATCAGTTCCAGAAATTCTAGGCATACAATGTTATGCCATGTACTTTAAATAATATAAGCAGGTAGTTTTGTTAGTTTAACAGTTGTTGCCTAAAATATGTTGTGCCCATAGATAGCAAAACATACGAACAATTTCTTGACTTTAATATGCTAAGACTAAGTCAATTAAAAAGTGTTTTAAGTCTGTCAGAGAAATATATCCATATTTTATTTAATGTGAAACACACAAATATTATTTTAAGGTCCTACTCTGGAGAAAAAGCTAATCCCTATCATCTTTCAATGATGGTGATTAGGCAAACTTTCTTTATTCTAACACAGACTTTCTTATAATCTTCTACAAAAATAAAAGTTAAAATCAGTGTTTCAAGATTTTTTAAAAATTAAAAGTTAGAAGACATCATGTATTCCTCTTCCAATATTTTTATTTTTCCATGTATGTGCAATTATCATAATTTAAAGGACATTTTTGATAATTATTTAGACTATAAAAAAACTGTACAGAAAGTTTGTACCACAAATTTGTATCCCTAAGTATAATAAAGGTGCTCAGTAACAGAGAGATAAATAGAAGCTCAAAAGGGACACCACTCAGCAAACTGTCATAATTAAAAAGAGCAGAACCCAATCTGCTATTTGTGAAAATGAAGAGACTTCATAAAGTACCTTTCAAATGTTCCCTATTACAAAAGGGAATGCCTATTAAAATGTCATAGTTTATTCTATATGAAACATCCCTTCTACCCTCTCAAAAGCTTTAAAAAATTTTTTTGCTTTAAGATTAAAGGCCATATCCTTCAGACATACTTTGTGAAAATGATCTCAATACAAGATCCAATGATTTCCATTATTTACTGTCCTTACTGAAATTCACCTGCCTGTTCTGGAGCAATTTTCTAAACTTTACTGTTGATTAACCCATTCTGAAGTAAAATTCTTCTGCAGCACACAAAAGACAGAGAATAAAATAGTTCTTACAAATATACTTTGAAATAGGTGTCCTTAAAATAGAAATAACTTTTCAGACCATTATTTTTCCTAATGACTAAACTCAATTTTAAAAAAAAATTTAAATGAAGGTTTTCAAATCAGTGATGTGTGCAGCCCATTCTTACGCACAGTCACTTAAACTTCTCATCTGCAAAACATAATACAATAAATTATCAAAAAGGAGAACACACAAAGCCCCATCTGGTTTACAATATGAAAACCATAAGCATTAAAAAACACATGGTGCCAAATATTAAAAGTTACACATTTTGCTGGATAATCTTTTAACTCTTCTTGACCATAAAAGTAACACGGGATCAATGCAGAAAATATAAAAAAGCAAAACAAACGAACAAAACCCTCTTATAACATGACCATTCAAATAGAACTGTTAATATCTGGGCATTTTTCTGTCATTTTTTTTCTATTTTAATTTTTTTTCTATTATATACAAGTAATAGGTTTAAGAAATAACCATGCCAGCACACATTTTGTTAAAAAATAAAATTAGAATATTATATATGTATTTTTATCTTTTGCTTACTTAACGTATAGCATGTTAAGTATCTCTGACTCTAAAAATCCTAAAATATTAAATGGATTTATCATAATATACTTAACCATTTCCCTACTTTGGAACATTTACGTTGTTTCCAATTTTTTGACATAATAAACAAGACTGTCATTAAGACATTTATTAAGATATTTAAACCTCACAACACTTTCATTTCTTAAAATGTATTTCTAGAAATAGAAGTACTATGTTAAAAGGGAATCTGAGACGGCCAAGACCTGTCCCCCAGTTCCCCTCCAGAAATAAACAGCCTTGTCCTACTGGATTTTAACCTATTCAAAAATCCACAGAACTTAAAATTACATGGTACATATTTTAAAATAAATTTTTAAAGTAAAAAATATTCAATGTCTAAAAAATCACAAATAATAGGCAGTAGAATCACTTTATGTCGTAGCACATACTCATGGAAAAAAGTTAATTTAACTTCAACCACACACTACATACATCAATCTGTTCCAAATGAGTCAGAGAACACAGAACAGCAAGTTAGAACCAAAAAAAGAAAAAATACATTATCTCAACTAGTTAAAAAAAAGAAAACATCAGAGAGAATAGAAGGGCGAGCCCAACAGAGGAACTCAGGACAAAGACCTTTGCTCCAATAAATTGCAAATACTACACATCTCTTTCTCTCAGAAGGCCACTTAAAGCCGAATTCTTCCCCTCACCCTTTATTTTAACCCTTGATATCCACCTTTTAAAATTTTATGATACAAACCAGAATTACAGTAGTTCCACAGAAAATCATTAGCTCTTGAAATGCATGAAAAAGACTAGTTTCTTAAAAGTCCAATCCTAATACCTTGAAATAAGAGGATAATGTTTAAGATTTTCAAAATTAAAGACATCTTTTCTCTTTTTCAATACTTACTCAGCATGAGAAAGTTTTATTTCTTCCCTTTGTCTTGCAGAGTAATTTAGATTCCCACCTGAAACACAAGTATGCACAGAATCCTTTCAATACAACTATTATGAGTGAAATTCAAACACGTACACACGTATACACGCACACGCGTCTGCACTGACAGACCTTAAAGTGACTTAAAAGGCTATGGAAGATGAGAGAGAAGTAGTTTATTTCCCAGAACCTTCCCAAGGGATGAAAACAATTTTTTTGAGAATCTTTATATAATACGAATAATCACTCCTTAATTTTAGCATTTTTTAAAGTTTGGGACTATATATTACCTTAGGTTTTCTTAATTAGGACACTTAATAATCAGTAATAATGAAAATTCAAAGAAATTAAAAGAAATGACCTAAAATTATTTAAACAGCATGTGTATACATTCTTCTAAATACGTAACAATTTTAAGGGTACAACTGAAAAATTGATAAGGGTAACATCAAAATCTTATAAAGAACAAAGAAAAAAGCACAAATGCATGAAGTATATGTATATTCACAAAAGAAAAACAATCTGCAACTTATCATTCCATATCAAACACTTTCAACCTTCAAATGAAAATATCAACTATAAGTATGTTTACCTATTTTTTTAAATGTAAGACAACACAGGTATGGCCTTAGGTTATTAAAAATGTTTATGCTATATACTTCTTAATGCTAATATAATTCATGCTAATATAAAAACATCAGCTAAAGTTTTATATTATAAAACTTACACTGAACTGGCCAGAAAGAACATGACAATTTTAATCAATGTGAAGGTCCAGAATACAAAATTATGTTACATAATAAAATATTTCCATCACTATGAAGAGAATGTTGCTATTACTTGAGCTAAAGCACTGGCCTCGAAAAGGCAGGCAGGCAGGCAATCCAGTGACCCCATTAGATTATCCACTGCAATTTCAGAAAAAAATGCCTAACTTCTACTTACCTCGGGCACGATTCACCACATAGAGTAAGACCCCAGCTAAAAGTGACACTGGAAGTGAAAAAATACAGGTCCCTTAAAAAAACATGTATTTACTTCTTCCCAATCATTCCTATGTCATCACAGTTACAAAGTAAAAGAGACAAAGCAAATAAATCTTTATTAACTAGCATTTGAAAATAAAAACACTACTCACATTATTTTCCAAAAAGCACTACAAATAAGTTACGCACCCTTTTCTCCATGGGCTACCTGAGCCCAGGGATGGCCCAGGCCCCAAGTGAGGAAGCCGAGATACCCGCGGGCAGGGGTCACCCCAGCCGCTCTTCGCTCTCCTTTCATGAATGTGGGCCCCAGCCGGCCAGCCCCTCGGCTGCTGGCTCTTTACAGAGAGCCAAACAGAAGTCAGCCTTGGGGCGGCGGGATGGGGGGAGAGGTCTGAAAACACCGTGGTCATTTTACTAATTAACCAAACATCAGAATGGGATCATTAGACTCCCAGAAGCCCAGCGTCAGGGAAGACCTCAGAAAGTCAGGACCCTGGCTTTTTACTTTAACAAGTGAGGTACATTTAATTTACTTAAAATTAATATGGCCACAAAAACATTTTTAAATGACTTGGCGTTTGGCTTGGGAACCCAATATGCTCGCATATGAAACTGTGGCTTGAAATTAAACCACATGTTGCAGCATCAAAAAAATAGACAAAACACTTTCACGACCCAGTTTTTTAAATTCTTAAAGGACCCGCTTTTTTTAAAAACAAGTACTTTTTTTAAATTTGATGTACTTATTTCTAAAACTATGAGATATTATAATGTATTCAGGCTATTCATAAGCAGTTGTCTGCAAACACCATACCTAAAGTATAAATACTCATTACTCCATGATAGTATCATCACTGGGGTTTGCCATTTTAAATACATGTTACTGAAGTATAAAAGGCATCTTAATGTGTTATATGAGAATTTTTTTGAGATGAGCACAGTTTATGTGTATGGGAAAGACTATCTAATGGAAAAATTTATTTTTATAGTTTTCAATAGTTTCCTAACACTTCCTATTTTTAACTAACAAATCATTACAGGTAAAAATTAAATAACAGGACTAAGAATAAAAATAATTTGAAACTGCCTAATGAATTAACCATGAGCACACCTAAATCACACCTATATCCACACATTCACACTAAGGACATACTCAGGACCCTTCAAATGCTTCCATTTTAAAGGGGAAGATTTTTTTTGTAAAAAAGATAAATATTTAAAACAATATAGAACATCTTCCACTGCTGCCTTTAAGAATAGGAACCTCCTGAAAAGTGCGTGTGACTCTTCAGAGAACTGAAAAGTCACCTGCCCTGAAGCTCTGATGCACAGGCTAAGAATTAGACAAATCTGAGAGCTACACCTTAGAGATCTGGTTCAAAAGAAGGGAAAACAGAACAGTAACTACAAAACCTAATGGCATAAATAAGAACATTCTGCTACATATTAAAAGGAACTCAATAAATGTTGCCATATGGTGCACTTACAAGAAACACAGGCAATGAAGAAGACTTCTAGAAACAAGTACCCCCGAGTATCCAGTATCATGCCAGCAACGATGGAAACAACCGCCAACCCAAGATTCTGAATGGACTGCATGCTACAATTTAAGAAATATAAAAACACATTTCAATTTCAAAAGTCTTTACAAAGCAAAAGAATTCACTATAAATATCAGTATCTATAAACCACACAGTATTCATGTTAAGAGACATTTTCAACCAGGGATGACATGATTAGATTTGTTTTTTCCCCACAATCATTTCCTCTACTAGACTTCATGCTCAAAGGTAAGGGAGCTTGCCTTAGGTACACTATGAACTCAAAACCTTCCTGCTGAATGAAAGAAAGGGCAAGTGAATACCAACCCCCTTCTGCCTTTTGGGCCAGAGACCAGGACTCAACTTCTCACTGAGAAGCCCTCAGATAAACAGGCAGAGAGGCCTTAGTGTCAGCCAATTACCTCTTACAGGTTAGCTTAACCCTGGCTCTCTTGCTGGAGGTTTGGAGCATTTTCGTTGCCACAATATCATAAACAGATTAAGTGACTTTTCGAGCTATTTCCAGGTTCAGAGCTGTCCCAGAAACCTAAAGATGACTAGATTCAGGAGACCTGGAGTTTCATATGAGAATTAAGTTGACACAGCAGAGAGAGACATTTTACGATCCACAGTGCAAATACTTACAAGCCATACGCAGTTCCCAGCTGGTGTTCCGGAACTACGAACGCCACCATTGGCCACAGTGCGCAGGCAAGCAATGAATAGGAGAGTCCGAGGAGGCTCTGCAGAAAGCAGTGCAGAAAAGGGGAAAAGCCTTATAAAACCCAAAAGCTGGTTTTCCTCTGATGCAGGCTAGCAAGACTGACATAATAGCTAATATATGAATATTCAGGTAAATTTTATTGCAATTGGGTTAAAACTCATATTCAATACCAAAAAAGTCTGGCCCTCCCTAACAGCAGCCCTTTGGTGAGGAAATACACACACGCTGTCTTAATCACTTTATATTATATGCATATATAATTGCCTGGGCCCAGGGTGCAGTCAATAACCAAGAAAACAAAGCTAATTAGCAAAAAAAGGTATTACCAACGTTTTAAGCAAGCTTATTTTCCAATATTTATTAGGAATTACATATTAAGCAACCAAGGCCATATCACATCAATAAGTCCAGTATCTTATCCCTGGGTCACCAACACCCAACAGGAGAGAAGAGCAGAGAACTAATATCCACTCCTTGTTAAACATCACCTAGTCCTGTCTTTTTCTTCATTTAAAAAAGGAACCTTACAATTTAAGTTAAAGATGTATACCTATTATATAGGCAAAGATTAAAATAATGCCAATGTCCAACAATGGCTAGAATATACAAAAAGACACATTCTTATATTACTGATAAAGCTATAAATGAGTAGAAAGTTACTGAATATCTATCAAGATGTTAAATGTTGCAAAGACTGCACTATAGCATTTCAACTTCTATGAATCTGTCCTACAGAATTCTCACCCAGTGCACTAATACAGGGTGGGGCAAAGGTAGGGTTACAGTTGTGCGTACGCAGAACAGTTTATTCTTGTATTATTATTTATGATTGTATTATTTTCCATATAAACAACTGTAAATCTACTTTTGCCCCATCCTGTATATATGTTCAAGATATTCTTTTATTAACAGATAAGATAGCAATTTAGCCTGTGGTCGTAAAAACGACATTCTGAAAAACAGTGACAAAAACTTAATGAATTCATTATTACTTTCTGACCTACTGAAAGTCAAAGACAAAAGGATGTGAAATGATGGATATTGGGCCAATAGATTTCTTTTGCCACCTACGATGGAATGACTTCTTTTAATGAAGTCTAGAAAAACAAATGGAACTAAGAAGCACTTTGGCTTTTATAAGACTATTTCATTTCAAATTCTATTTCAGCATTGAGTTTCCTATTAAATAAGCCAAATGAAACTAAAAATACCTTATGCCTTAATAATTAATATTTATATACTTTAAAAAGTTATTTTGTAGAAATTGAAGTTAAGTCATTGTTTTCCCCACTGACACAAAAGCACTGCTATCAGAGGAGCTGAGCGTGGCTCCTGACATGTACCCCCCGCCCCCCGTGTTCGCAGTGACGTTACCATGGCGATCCAAGGGTTCCACAGCGTAAACGCCAGCAGCATGTGGGAGGCAAGAGTGGTCACCACTGCACACAGAACCCAGATGATGTTCTTTCCTGTCTTGTCCACCAGGAGCCCAAATACTGGGGACATGGGAGCTGATATGACATATACAACACTGCCCAGAGAAAAGATATTTAATGGAATGCCTCACAGCTCTCCTCCACCCTACAAAATTCCAGAAAGTCCCTAAGCCCTTTAGGCAAAGTAAACCCTAGCTCATTTAGTTTAACAGTCTTCTAAAATTGCCATCAATAAACAGAACTATAACAATATAAACAGTAGTCCAAGGTTTCTTTGGTTTTCCGTTAATGCAAAGATGGCCATTCAGGATCAAGTCCCAATATAAGCTTGGTTTCACACTGTGGATATTATATCACATATGTCTAACATTTGGTTATAATTAAAGACCCACACTAGGCACACAACAAACACTTAAGAGAATTACTGAAATACCTGTTAATTGCACTTGCTGCCTGGGAAGAAAATCCAAATTTCTCCATAAAGAAAACTCTAAAATAGAGAAAGAGAGAGAGAGAGAGAGAAAAGCACTTTAGAGAGAACTACTGTTTTTTTAAAAATAAAGACCAAATAAAACGGAATATAAATAATTCTAAGTTTAGTCAACTTTTCCTTCTTGATACTGTCTTCCCACCTTATTTGATATTATTCACCTTCAGGTCACTGGCTAAAGCTTTTGAGTTTATATAAATATTTCACTAACTGAATAAAATATACTGATACCTGTTTTTCTCCTTTTTACATATACAGGAAACAGCACACAAATTTTCAGAAAACCAAATGTATTATGGGAATTAAGAGAGCCTCTTTTCCTTAAAAGCAGTATTGAACAGGTTCTTTGCTATATAATGCATAGGATTCTTGTCTCAAGTTATTTAGAATAACGGCCTGAATTTAAAGGTTATAATCACAATCATACACCCTGACAAACACACCCATGCTGACAAACGGCTGTTTAAACAGCCGCCAAAGGAAAGAGAGAGTGAGAGAGAGCAAGAGAGAGAAGATAAATCGAAGAAAAATTTGATTTGAACACTGAATTTGAATCTGGAGGAATCGCAGTCCTAGGAATTAAAAATATGTCCAATCACTATGAGCCAATGTGCTGTCTCCATTCTCAATAAGAGGCTTCCTAGCCAAGAAATACAAATCTAAAATCAAGCATTAAAATAAATCAATATTTGGAATCCAAAACTGTTATTAGGTATTTCTTTTAAAAAATTTTTTAAAGGATTAAATCAATACTGAACCTTAGGCAAAGAAAATCAGTTGTATCCCAGGATATCAAACAATTTTTGTGTATTTTTAAACTATAACCAGAGAAGCAAGATTTGCAGCTAAAAAAATTACATTTATGTAACTGAAACCTCATTATAATTTAGCCAACAAAAGTGGAATGCTAGGCAATACTCACTTCCCAAGTCCGATGAAAGGGAACACGGCGACGTAATAGCAGACACAGATGACAAATATGAGCCACAGGGGTAAGGAGAAGTCCTTCACATCAGTTATCTTAATAACTTCGCCTTAGAGAAGGAAGGGAAGAGGCTATCGGTACAATTTTGCATATCTAACTCAAGATTAGTTTTCATTTATCATGTGATTAACCTTTACAATTCAGTTAAAGTACTTCTCTCAGTAAATTACTGGAACATTTCAAGGATAATTTAAAAAGACATTAGGAAAAAGCAAAACCTAAGGTTAGTATCTACCTAAGGAATGAGAAACACTGATCATTTTGCAAATATACAAACAGGAATGTAAATTATGCCAAAAACCTAAGGAGAAAAATGTACCCCTATATTTAGACAAATGGAAATAGATATGGAACTAAAAGATCAAGAAACATCTATTAAGCCTCACTGGGGTTTACAACACCGCATTAGGAACTTGCATAATTGTACATTATTTCAAAAAGGCCGTAATTCCCCAAAGTCCCACTTTTCTTGCATTAAGCCTTACCTGTTTTTCCTTCTTCTTTATGAAGAATTTTTTCTGCTCTCTGATCCAAGTAACCAAGGACCAAGGCACAAATTAGTGAAATAATACATGTTATACCCCCTATAATTTAAAAAAATAAAATAAAGGTTTTTAAAAGAGCCAGACTGAAGGTTCCATAAAACACAGCATATCACATTAAATGCAAAAAACTTAACAACCAAAGGGGTAATATTTAGGCACATATTTAAAAAGCCCACAATTACTAAATGAGGAGAGAAGAAAATGAAGAGCATATGGTAAACATTCAACAAACAGCAGTCGCTATTACTGTGTTATTTCCCAGTAGAAGGTTGGAGTTTAGAAGGAAAAGACTACAACAAACTAGTCCAGTCTTCTAAAGCAGAATACAAACTGAAGAAAGCTGACGACCAGCTAGCCAGTTAGTCCCACTTTTTTAATTCAGTGTAATAAGTACTCATTACTAACGGATGCAGGGGGCGGAGGGATTATAAAAGCAAAGTCTGACTCTGTGATCACCTCACCTTCCTTTTGATTCCTGCCCAAAGTCTGTCACCCTTGCTCCTACCCTCTGGCAGACCAAAGGCCCCACCTTCCCCCAGCAGAGCTTGCTCAGGATCTCTTTCCTTGGAGTGTTCAGCATTACTCACTATTGTGGATCTCCTATCACTGCCATAAATCAGATAAAGAGTGAATACAGATTACTCCTGTCAAGAATTTTAAAAAGAAGCTTAGTAAAATAAATGCATCTTTGATTAGCTAACATAACACAGTCCAGTTGAATAACTGCAGAAATGAGAGACACTAGAACGTAAGTTCTATTTCTGCCACTACCAAGCTGAATGATCTTATACACAGAACTTAACATCTCTGGACTTAAAATTTCCCCATCTGTAAAATAGGAGACTTTGAAACATAATGGCACAGGTCTTTTCTAGCTCTAAAATTCTTTAAAATTCTCAAACTTTCCATCATAGAGGGAACTAGAAGGAATACTGAAGAGCATTTGAGCATAAGAAAGGGGTTTTAAGTAAGGCAAAGGGTTTGAGGGGGCAGGAAGGAGGAGTCCCTAAGCACAAGTCATCTGTTTAGGGTAATTGCTCCACTGTTCTCTTATTACCTTGTAATCAAGAAATTACAAGGAATAAAAGATGGCATGGGACATTGAGCCCAACTCACGGGTCTCTCTAGGGCTCTGCAAGCAGCCCTCTGCACACCGCGGGGCGCAGTCAGACAAATTCACTGCTCAGACAGAGGCGGCACGGGTCCTCATTCTCTTCCCAGTGACCCACCTGGCAGCCAGCGCAGTGGGGCCTTAGCTAAGAGAACTCATGGCCAAAAGGGACTGCACAGTTTTGGTCTAACACCCACAATTTTAGAGAAAACTGAGACATGGAGGTTAACTTCCTTGTCCAGGATGACAGAACCGTTAGAGGCAGGACCAGAACCCAGGCTCCTGACCCCCAACCTAATGGGTTTCCATACATATCATCTCTACAAAATCTAAGCTCTAGGGGCATACTAGCTGAATTTCATCAAATGAAAACAATTCTCCCTTCTGCTAGCAACTAATATTGGGTTGGCCAAAAAGTCTGTTATGTTTTTTCTTTACGAAGGCTCTAGAAGTGTTTGTCTTTCACTTCATTTGAAACAATTTTGTTAGATTGCATTGTAACAGCTATCATATCAGCAAGCATTTGAAAAAAAAACTTACCAAAATTGATGAACTTTTGTGCAGCCATTTTAATTTTGAAGATGGAAGAAGATATGTAACATTTTTGGCGTACTATGTTTTATTATTTTAAGAAAGGTAAAAACAAAACTGAAATGCAAAAAAAAAAAGAAAGAAAGAAAAGATCTGCGCAGTGTATGGAGAAGGTTCTGTAACTGCTCGCATATGCCAAAAATGGTCTGCGAAGCTTCCTGGTACTATTGACATTCTGGCCAAATAATTCTTGGCTGTGGGGCTGACTGACGCACTGGAAGGCGTTAAGCAACACCTTTCGCCTCTACCCGCTAGAAGTCAATAGCAGGACATAGCCGACATACTCAAAAACATCCAAGTCAATAAAGTTATTGGTGAAAACGAAAAGTGTCTTATACTGTACAGAAAAAATATAATGGACTTTTTGGCCAACCTACAATTCACATCTTAACATGTATAAATTCCTGACTGTTTTCAGAGTTTTCACATACACTTTCTCATTTGATCATCAGGACAACGCTGAAGGAGATACGAGCATTACCCGATCCTCATTTTAAGAAAGTGGAAACAAAAACACAGAGTGAATGCTCATTATTTCTAATTAGGTCAAGGAACTCGTGAACTGCTCAGGCAAAATTACAACCAGCGTGGTCTAACTCTTATCTCAGTGTTCTTTCCTCTCTGCCACACCACTTCCTATGACATGCTCTTGGCAGAGACAAAACGCAGAACATCAGGATTCACTGACCAATCATAAGCGTGACTCCAAGGGTTGTGTGATCAGCAGAACCCAACGAAGCTTCTACCGCAGAGTACAGCCATCCCATGAGGTTCATGTTCACTGTGCTTCCCTGAAAGAGAACAGATATACAGGACTCTGATTAAACAAGAGATAAAGTTTTTTTTAATGCTACACAGGAAAAAACTGACAAAGATAAAGCAACAGATAAGATTACTACACAAAAAAATGCCAATTAATAGAACATGTTAGTATTCAAAACAGCACAGTACATTTGTAACTTACTAGTAGACAAAACAAAAATGAAGCACAAGTTACAAAAGTCACAGGGTACCTATGACAAAATAAACCCCAGAAAAAGTACAGCTTTTCCTGGTACTGACACCTGAAAAAGAAAATTCGTCCTCTGACTGTCCATAAGAAGATGGTAAAAGTTATGGATAATATTCTCATTTATTTCGTCACTCATGTATCAGTTTCTGAGCCCAATTACATGCCAGTCACTGTTCTAGGTATTGGAAATATAGAAAAGAACAAAAAAATCTTCAGCTTTCATAGGTATTATGGTTTAGAGACATAAAACAGCCATCCCCAACCTTCCTGGCACCAGGGACGGGTTTTTCCACAGAGGACTGGGGACAGGAAGCAGAGCTCAGGTGGGGGTGGGGGGCAGGGGAGCGGGGCAGGAGGCTGAGCTCAGACAAGCTTCCCTTGCAGCCTGGTTCCTAACAGGCCACAGGATGCTACTGGTCTACAGCCTGGGGTTTGGGGATCCCTGAAGTAGAACAAGTAAAATACATAGTATATTGAATAGCATTTAAAAGTGCTTGAAAAAATTAGGGAAAAAATAAATCAGGGAAGGAGACTATACAGGGGTGGAGACCTCAATGAGAACGTGACTTTGGAGTAAAAACCTGAGGGAAGTTAGCTGTGAGGACATGTAGGGGAACAGCATTCCAGGCATAAGGAACAGCCAGTGCACAGGCCCCGAGAGGGAGGCTGCCCCGCGTGCACGAGGGATGGCAAGGGGGCAGAGGTGAAACTGCGTAAATAAAGAAGGGGGAGGACGAAATGAGGTCTCCAAAGGGGAAATGGCGGCTGGGTGGGGCAGGGCAGCTATAGGTCATAATAGGATTTTGGCGTTTACTCTAGGGAAGAAGGAAAGCCATTAGAGTTTTGATAGATAAGTGGCACAACCCATGCATGTGGTAACAGACCCACTCTAGCTGCCACATCCAAAATAGATACAAGTGGGATGAAGGCAGAAGCAAGGACATCACTAGGGAGCTACTGCAATAATCCAGAACAGATGGCGGGTCTCGGACTAGGGCGGCTAGAATGGGCACGTGAGAAGTGGCAGGAATATGGATGTATTTTAATGGCAAAGCTAATATGATTTGCTAAAGAAAAATATGTGGGCCCTGGCAGCTGGTGGGAGTGTCATCCTGAACACCAAAAGGTTGTGGGTTCGATTCCCAGTGGAGGCACACACCTAGGCTGTGGGTTTGATCCCCAGGTGGGGCATGTGTAGGAGGCAACCAACTGATGTTTCTCTCACATCTATGTTTCTCTCTCTCTCTCTCTCTCTCTCTCTCTCAAAAATCAATAAAATATCCTCAGGTGCGGATTTAAAAAAACAAAAGAAGAAAAATATGTGGAGTGTTGGAGGGAGGGGCGGGAAAGAGTTCCAGAGGACACCACAGTCTCTGTCTGATCAACTGGCAGGAAAGAGTTATCCACAGCTGAGGATGAGCAAACTACAGCATGAGCTGGTGTGGGGGATGGCTCATTTGGTAGAATACGAGAGCTGGGTTTTGGCCAGGGCAGGCTTCATATGCCTACCAGACATCCGAATGGAAATGATGAGGAGGAAGTTACATATACAAGTATGGAAAGGTCTGGACAAATGATGTAAATTCAGGAGCAAGGACATGCTATCTAAACCTTCAAAACTAGGTAAGATCTCCAAGGAAATGACCATGAAAAGAAAAAGGAAGCTGCCCACTGTCCAAGCTTTGGGGCACTGCCACGTGTACAGGTTGAGGAGATGGAGATGGGACTAACAAAAGAGGCAGAAGCAGACAAAAAGGCAAAAGGAAAACTATGAGACTGCAGCATCCTAGAACCCGAGAGAGGAAATCAAGGAAGGGGGGATGTCAACTGCGTTAAATGCTATCGATGAGTCCAACACTGAAGACTGAGAAATGAGGTGGCTGTCTGAGGTCTGGCTCACTCCGCCTACTCCTCAGCTCTCCCCTCCATTGTGAGAAGACCCTGAGATTCCTTTCTAGAAACTTAAGGCTTCTCAGTACATGGCTGAACTGGTTATAACAAGTTTTTGAGCACGTGGAAAGGAGCCTGAAGATCACTGGCGACTATAATGGCACCAATGAAAATGGGTCTCACTCAATTGATCCTATTTCATTCTTTGAGAAGTTACTAGTCAATGAGACCCACAAACTGCCACAGACATGCCTTGACTTGAACAAGATACATAATGAAGTACTCTAAATAGCCTTGCAGATAAAATGTAGAAAATATAGGAAACCATACTAGTTATCAGAGAATTATAAATTAATATTTAGGTGTTTCCTATCAAAATGATAAAGACTTTTTAAAGTAATAGTAGCCTGTACCATCAAAGCTATAAATATTAAAAAGGATTCTTTCATGTTCACAGATAGGGATGTAAGTATCTCTGAGAGGACAATGTGAAAATATGTCTCAACATTCCCAGGAATCCCTATCAAACCGTCTGACTCAGTAATCCCATTTCCAGCAACCTGGCCTAAGGAAACAAAGGTGCAGGCAAGTTCTACAGAGCGTCACACAACAGCCACTGTTGACAATAGGGGAAAATGAGAACCTACATGTATAAAAACATGTTATATATTCCATATGATATAATATTACATTAAAAACTTTTTATACAGGATTTCTTCTTCCCTACAATTATGTTACAAGCATTTTCGTGCCATTGATTAGTCTGAAACCTTGATTTTCAATGGCAAGTTTCTTAAAAAGCACTCTTCATAAGAGTTTATGAGGAAAAAAAAGAATGGGGTCTGGGACTGCCCCTCACAGGCTGCATGAGTACAGCATAACGTCGTCCACCTGGGTGCCCTCTATCCGACCAAACCGGAAACAGCATGATCACTTGCAGGTTCTAAATGTGAGGAGTACTGACTGGCCACCTGCAGTGAAGCCAGGGAGGCGTGAGCACCATCCTCAGGGAGCCGAAATCCATGACACGTAGCTTGGACAACCACAGGAAATGAGCAGGTCTGACCAAGAAGTGAAGAGCTATCTTCATAAGCAAAGTGCTGGTGCACAGGAAGGAGATAAACATGAACTACAGAGGGTAAAAGTTGGAGCAATCAGTAAAAACCACTCGTGCAGCCAGATTTCATCTCTACATGAGGTCTGAATGTCATCAAGTTAATTGAGGTAGAGAGGCTGCCCCATCACATAGTGAACTTCTGATCCCTGAAAATATGCAAGCAGAGCCAAGGAGAGGACCATACGTGACGACTTCGTAGCAGGGATGCCAAAATGAGCTAGAAATTATACGATGAAACCTATTAAGATACATTCCAATGCTCAGATTCTCTGAACTAATGAATGCTCATTTAGCCATTTCAGACTGCTTCGTAAGTGAGTAAGGTTAGAAATGCCTTAATTAAAGTAAGGTAAATGCTATACTATGGTCTAGAGAAATCCATTTAAAAAATCAATGCCTAATTTGTCACACACAAACACTTCATCCTGTAATTTTTAGGGGACAGCTATACGAGTCAATCTTTTGCTTCCTCTTTGGCTTCATTAGGTTTGTCATACTTACAATTCTAGCCATGCTAAGTTGCAGTCCAAACACCAGGTTTAATTCTTTGCCTTTAAACCAACTCACGGCATATGTATTCTGGGCAACGGCTAAGGACTCCCCGCCAATCCTAAAAGTGAGGAAAGGGAGAAAAGTGAAGCTTTTAAAGAAAAGCCACAGTTAGCAAAGCAGCAAATAGGCTTAAAACTCTGACCTCTCCTATCAAAAGACAGAGTCACTGTCACCTGCCCTGAATCTAGGTGAGCTTGTGACCACTGCCACCAATAGAATATGGTGAATGTGATGCTGGGTGACCCCAAGCCTAGGTCGTAAAAGATGACATCTGTTTTCTCACTCAAACACTCCCACTTGGAGCCCTGAGCCACTTGGTTAGAAGTCCAACAGCTCCGAGTTCCCCATGCAGGGAGAAAGCCCAGCCACACGCAGAGGCCACCCTTGGGCACTGCAGCCAGCAGTGCGACCCTTCACGCCCTCCCAGCCCAGGTGCCATGCACGTGAACCAACGAGCTTTTAGATGACTGCAGCCCAGGCAACTTTCCAGCTGAGGCTCCAGAGAGCAGGTGCACAGAGAAGCCATCCACGCTGTACCCTTCCAAACTGCTGACACACAACATCCACTGGAATTTGGCTAAGTGCAGTAAAAACCACGACAGGCCATGAAAGGACTCTAGGTCACCGCATCACCATCTTTGCTGCACAACATGCTTGTGTGAAGAGTGAGCCGTACTTTGTGAAAACTTAAAAATTCACTTGTCAGGCCACTACCTTCCATATTCAACAGTCCCTGCTTCCTGGGTTAACTGTCCTTCAGTTCTACATATTGACCGCCACCCCCCACCCCAAGGCCTTCAGTTGGGAGCTGCTCTCCTCCATATCCTAACACTGAGCCGTCTTCGCCACTCCGTCCTACTTCAAAACCAGATGCCCTCTCTTCTACTAATCCAAGTTAATGAATTCCCTTCTGACCACAGTTCCATCAGAATCCCTTTCTATTTTTAAATACATTTCATTTCCTTCTCTCTCCGTACAGTTTTTAAAAGTACGTCACCTATGTCTACATGTCTCTAGTAGCAGTGAAAAGAATCAGTAAGTTATCCTCTTAAGTTAAAGACTGAGTAAGTTCTATCATTTGCGTTCCCTCAGGTCAGGAAGCCCAAGGCTAGACTCAGAATGGGCTTACTTAACAACACTGAAATTTATGAAGAGCAATCATTCTACTGCTATTTTGCTCATTCAAGCCTTTTCTACATGGTTCAAAAGGACCCACACACTACCCACTAAGAAATAACAAAATGTCCATAATCACCAACCTGGAAATTGATGGTCTACACTATAAACGGGGTCTAAATCATAGTCTTTAATACAACAGGAAAGCAAAACTCCTAGGAAAACTGTCATCTCTGGAGAACTATTTAATACTCAAACCCCATACAGAGTTAACTATGGCCACTGAAAATTGTTGCTTCCTTTAAAGGAAAATAAAGACAATTAATAAACAGTTTTATGTATATATGGCTAGATTTCAAGGACTTGAAGTAATTCTCCATTAAGAGACAATAGTATATTTTCTGTAAATCCTTAATAAACTGATAGCCGAACACTAAACATATTAGGACAAATGAAATTATTCATAACTTACCCAAACACAAACCTTCCAAATTCCATCAGCCAAAAAGCATTAAATATTCCACCAAGAGCAAAAATAACCTACAACACAGAATATATTGTAGAATCAATGAAAAATAAATTCAGGGTATTCAAGAGAAATAAGTTACTTATGATGAATCACAACTTCTACAGTAATTTTAATATTCCTTGTTAGTAAATCTGTGAAATTAAAACATTAATGCTCATTGTCTCAATCCTTAAAATGGCTTATGCCTCATACTACTATATGGGCATTTGTGGACCCCAATTAATTAAATGAGACATGCATTAAACACATTCTTTGCTGGAATTAGACAGAATTCAAGGTATCACTTACTCAACAAACGATTTTGCCTTTCTTACCTGTCCAATGCAAACAAAGCAGCTAAAAATAATGGTGCCCCATCTGTTGGAGAGGGGGAGAAAGAATATAAATTAAAAATATGTCAGTCAGTCACTCAGTCAGTCTCCATGTCCTTCAGTAATGTTTTCTTCGACCCCTCTGCACTCCCTCCAAGGGCAGAAAAGTGAAGCGCCGGCCTGCCTCTGAAGTCAGCAGCTTTTCTGCGGTGAATGTTAATCTGCAGAAGTCTTGACTTCAGAGGGGATTCCAGAGGCTTCAGTAATGACACATGTTAGTTTAAACCATTGTCATCTCTGAAACAAAACTTATTAAATAATCTTCAAGTACTCAGGGTTCCCATTTAAAAATGGACATTCTGTATAAAATTCCTATTAAAACTTTTAGGATTAATTAGAAGGAATGCCAGGCTAAGTAATTTTAAGTGGTTATAATTCTTGATAACTAAAAACTATTTTTAAAAGGACAAACATCAACCATGTTAATACAATTATAAATCTGTTTACATGAATATTCTACACTTTGAATATCTGATTAACGTCTCCCCAGAGGAATAAAAGGCCGATGTTAGAAGAGTCCTTAAAGAGTACAGGAGTGAGTCACATCCCCGAAATCCTTCTCACTGCCCTGGCAAAGGGCCGCACCACAGCCAGCACCAGAAAACTCACTGCGGTCCCAAGGCACATTCACAGCCCATCCTGTTAACCTGAGTGACCAAAGTCTGCAACATACTAAGTGGACTCTGTTCCCCTGAAGTTTCCAGCTAATTCTATCGCTTTAGATCAAGCAAAATAAATTTAATTCCTCCTTTATACCCTAATTCTTCAAAACTTTTAAAAGTTAGTCTCCAAGTCTAAACGCTCAAGCGTTTCTTCAATTCTTTTCCACCAGACATGGTTGGGAAACTCGTTATCAGTCTATCCTCTGCTTTCTGGAAATATTCCTAGTCTACGTTCTCTTGAAGTCTCCACTAACAACATACACACACTCACAAGGATAAAAAGTGAAAAAGCTTATAGGGTTATTCCTTCCTCAGTATCTAACAGAAGTGGTCACAGAAGTTCAACACCCACAGAAAAGCAGAAAGAGAAATTTTCACTAGGGAGAGGTAAATACTACATAAGCACTAATTATTATATATCCATCTCTCAATCCTCAAAGCCACCTTGCAAGACAGCAATTATTACCCATGTTCTACCAATGAGGAAACTGAAGCTCAGGAAGCCAAGAACAAACAGCTCAGAAGAGCTAGGAAGTTGAGCAAGTGGGTGCAATGGGATTCAGACCGTGGCCTGCCTTATCCCAAACGAGGGCATAACCAAGTTCCCTTATTTCATGAGCTCCAATCTTAACTGAAATACCAACCTAGTTTCAAAAACTAATTCCAGAGATATTTTAAAACCTTTAAAAAAAATAATGCAGATTATCACAGCCATACAGAATTTTATTCAGTTCTTTCTAGAAATACCTTAATTTAGTTTTGTGTTTTTCTAATAATCAGATTTTACCTATAGGTGAGTTTTTTTTTTTTTTTCAAGCTTACCGTATTCCAAATACTCGGTCTATCAAAAAGCCACCAAAGAAACACAAAACTACATTGGGCCAAGAATACCAGGCATACAGCAGCATGAATTTCGTGGTATTCACTTGCATATCCTATATGGAAAGAAAACATGGTCAAACCTCAGTTCTTGGATGTCTCCCATCTCGACCAATTTCAGTTCTTGACTAAGTTGTTCACAGAAAAAAATGTCTTGGTTGTTTAACAAAACTTCCTTTCTTGACCCGACAATCCTTTCATGCTGGTGCCTGTATGACCAGTCACTTACGATTAGGTTTTCAAACAAAATCACTTCTCGAACAGCCTTCCGGATCAAAGTTCGAGAACCGAATTCTACTGTAATTTATTTTTTCCAAACAGTTAAGCTTAATACCTAACAAATCTATTTTTTTTTTTTTTTTTCTGTGTAGGGCAGGAGTTTCCTAATCATGTGTAGTCACTTAGCTGCTGTGGGATTTTCATGGCTGCTATGGCCCCGCCCCCAGAAAAAGGTTACACCTGGGAACTTCTTGTGTCCTCAAGCCATTTCAGACGCTTCATGGAATCTATGATCAATCAGATCCCCCACTATGGAGACCACCTCTGTCTGCACCTGCCTATATATTCCATATTCTTATTCCCCTTACACTGCCTGCACTGAGGCTTCCCACCATATGGAAAAAATAATCTTAGCCTTTCCCCAAACTAACTTGTACCTTCCTTCCCTTTCATGCTAGAATGTGAAGGGCCAATCTATGCATTTCTCCTGTCCAAAGACAAAGAGACCATGTAAATACAAAAGACGTAAATAGACATCCACATTTAAAAAACAAAGTAACAACAAAACATACTGCCCTGGCTGGTGTGGCTCAAAGGACTGAGTGCTGGCCTGGGAACCAAAGGGTCACTAGTGCAATTCCCAGTCAGGGCACATGCCTGGGTTGCGTGCCAGGTCCCCAGTAGGGGGCGCATGAGAGGCAACCACACATTTGATGTTTCTCTCCCCCTTCCTCCTCCCCTTCCCCTCTAAAAAATAAATAAATAAAATCTTTAAAGAAAAAACCTACTTAAGAAGGCAAAAGTGATCCTATCAAATCATTTGCCATTCAGATGATTACTCAATAGGAGAATGAAAGACAAAAATCTGCTAATATTTTTTGGCAATACAATGGAAATAGCACATAATTATTCATCTAAGTTGTGAAACAATATCAACTTAGAAACCAGTGCTATAAATGAATTTTGTAGCCACTCTTTGCCACACTCAGATTTGGTACCTACAGATATTAAAATGGATTCACTGGACAACGTTGCAGACTACACAACCTGAGGGCTGATGAAGCCTCAACAGCTATACCTCCTCAAAACAGAACAAAGGTGAAAAATCAACTTACCCGTTTAACCTGCGTCTGAAGGGCAGCAGGATTATCATAGCAAAAATAGCTTCCTAGAAAAAAGGAAGAACAAATATTTTCTAAGTAATAATACTATCCATAGGAGTTTCAAGTTACTACTCAAATGGTGATTTTAAATGCTTATACTAGGGATTCAAGCACTGACACTGTGGAAACTTTTTTGACCATTTCCTTGTCCATCATTATTTTCTAAGTTGTAGCCAAATAACCCAGAGAACACACGCCATATCATTTACAAATAATTAGTGTGCATACTTAGCAAACATTGGGAACCTGGATCAAGAAGTTAATCAACAACTAACTGTTCTTCCATTTTCTTTCCACGATTCTTCATATGTCTACTAATGTCTTAACGTATTCATGAAGCCCTGTATTTTCCTTATTTAAAGTTACCAAAACACACACACACAAATTTCACAAATATCCTCAGCAGCTTCCTAGTAACGTTACCTGAGGTCACCACTTATGTTGAGCAGAGGAATGGAGTTTAACTACTCTACTATTTGATACAAGAGTTCTGCCCTGGCTGGCTAGGCTCAGGGCATTGTCCAGTAAACTGAAGGGTCACAGGTTCAACTCCCAGTCAGGGCACATGCATAAATTGCAGGCTCAGTCCACAGCTGCATAGGAGGGGCAACTGATCAGTGTTTCTCTCACCCTTTTCTCCCTCCTTTCCCTTCTCTCTAAAACCAATAAGCATTCCTCCAGTGAGGATAAAAAACAAAAAGAGTTCTAATTCTACAAACAGAATTCCCCAAACCAAATAATTTAGTGAACACAGGGCCTGGAATGAAGAAATACAAAATAAGAGTTCTAAAGGATTAAGTAAAAACATAAAAACGTCTGTCGGCGGATAAGAGTGAAGTGGACAGAGGTCTCACATTCGTTCACTGAGATTTATTTTAAGAGTACTGTAATTGACAGATGTGTGGTAGGCTTCAAGACAGTACTGCCTCCATTTTTTCACTAATTCTCTGTAAAAGTACATATTAGAAATTACAGAGTCAAGAGAAAAATATTGTCATTAGAAGGGTATGCATCTGGTTTCTGAAACCCAGGCAAGTAAATATAATTTATCGAAAATGATTTGTCTACTTGCGTAGGGACAATTTTAAGTGTTTTGTGGTGGTGGTCTTTCTGTTCCTAAACCAGCGACTTCTGGTCCCTGCTTTAATCGCTGCTGTCAGGGGTACCACTGTCCTGACTTAAAGCTAATGGACGGGCGTCACCTTTCCAAAAAAAGACTGGGGGTGGACGGGCTCAAAAGCACTGGCAAAGAAGCTAAAGCCCAAAGCACCCTTAATGCCTACTTAGGAATTCCAGCAGCGGCAAAAATACGTTCCCAAACTTGATTTCACCGCTTCCCGTGAGCCCCGTACAAAAACACATTATTACTTTCATACCAAACTAACACTGACATTAGAATGTTGCTGAGTAAGTTAGTTGCTGCAACATAGGAAGACGTTTTAAAAATTATCTCAAACTGCCTTCAGAGTCATCAGATTTCGTAAGTGAAACCAACCACTGCCAAGCCAACCCCAAGTGCAATCCAGTGTGATTCCTTCAAAGTGGCAGAGTAGGAGTAAGGGAACACATCTGCTCACTGAAGCTGTAAGCAAGGCACACTCATACAATTTCCAAAAGAGTGTCTTAAGTTGATAAGACTGTCAGCGAAACTGACTTTTTTAAAAGTATTTTTCATGCAGCTGAGGGAAGAGAGAAGGGGCGGTGGTAGTTTAAACTTTCTTAATTCCTTCTGAACCAAGTGCCAGGAGAAGAAAGTTGACCACCAGAAAAGATTCCGCCCTGTCTATGGCTGCAGGAAGTGAGTTGCCAGCCTCTGAAACTTCGTGGAGCAAAGGAGTCGAGAGGGACAAAATTCGCCCAGCTCAGTCCCCTGACCGCCGCTTTCGGGACGCCACCGGCTTGAATAAGGCCGCGAAGGTAAAATGAGAGAAGAGAGGCCTGTGGCACCGGCGGCGTAAGCTGATCTCAGGGCTCGGGGACGGAAAGTCGCAGATTGCTCGGTTATCCGCCCCACCCGACCCGGCTAGGCGGCTCACCAAAGCCGAGGAAGCACATCAGCAACAGCACCAAAAGCCGGTGCGCCAGGCGACGGGGGTCGCAGAGGGCCGGCAGCATCCCCGGGTCAGCGGGGGCGTCTCTACCGGCCTCGTCCGGGCCGTTTGCCAGAAGCCCTCGCGCTTCCTCATCCTCCTCCTCCATTGTGCCGGCAGGAGCTGGAGAAGGAGAAGCGCCGGCAACACTAGGACCAGGAAAGATCCCGTAGCCCAGGCCCCAGCCAGGGCTGCGGCCGCAGGGCCGCGGTCGCTCACGTGACGCTGGGGCAGGTCACGCAGGGCCGTGATCACGTGGTGGGCAGGGCTAGCGGAGAGGGCGGAGAGGAGATGTGTACTAGGATGTTTTCTCGGGGCAAGGTCCTTTCGTCGGGGTGAGGTACCTCGGGCGTCCACCCACGGCCTTCCAGAGCTTACCGCGCTGTCCTTTTGTTTCCCGAGTCCCCTGCAAATACACCCGTTGCAGACCCGGAGCCTCCTCCCCAAGAGAAAGTGCGCGCCTCCCATCCGGCTCAACGCGAGCCCCTGCGCGATCCGACCTGCGCTAAGGACACCGAAATGGGCGCCACTCCCGTCCGCGCAGCGTTGCTCCCCGCAGCCTCTTTGCCTGCGCTTAATATTCACAGACTCCACTCGGTACCATCTGCACAAGTAATCTCCGAGCCTACGGTTTAAGTTGGAGAGATCGACAGAAACTGATACTTAAAAAAAAAAAAAAAAAAAAAAAAACCTAGTGAATGGATGACTGTGTTGAGAAGAACGACGGGAATAAGCGCTAAATTCTGAAGAACAGGTGAATAGTTTAACCAGCCCTAAAGGAAGGTGGCAGCAGAGAGGTTGGGGAGCGCTGAAGCTCTTCAAGTGGATATTACGCTAGGATTAGGAAGAATGAGCTCGCCATGGTTCCTACTTGAGGGGGTTATTGGTGGAGGCCATTAGAAAGAAAAATGAAGGCGCCGCATGAAACAACTGGCTGTGTATGTGTTTGTATTGATCTGGAGATGAGCGTAGAAAACACTGTACCTGATCCATTAGAAGCCATGCAAGGATTTTGAGCAGAGCAGCAAGAATGAAAGATTTCTGTTTTTAAAAATTTAGTCCGGCAACATATCCTGACCCCTACTTCCTGGGAGTCCCCAACCTTTGCCAACAGAATTTTGAGGGCATCAAGGCTGGAGATTGAATAGCCACGAAGATCATTAGGTATTAGGAAGGTGGCAAGGGCCTATACTAGGGGAATAGGTATGAAAAGTAAAAGAGAATAAGTATATAGGAGGTGAAATGGGGATGACTTTGTAAATAATAGCATATGAGGTCTGAAAAGAGGAAGAATTTGAAAATGTCTCCCAGATTCCTAGCTTGTGCCACAGAATTTTAGTTACCAGTTTATGTGTGCCATGAGATGAAGATTGAAAATCACCGACCTGGTCTATGAAAAATTTTAGCTTCCTTTGCCAACAGGGACCATGTTAAGTTTGGTCAGTAGGTGGCACAGGAGAAACATCTTAGGCAGGAAGCGTTTTCCCTCCAGTTCTGTGCTGACTCCAGAGCTTTGGCGCCTGCGTGCACAGTTGCTCCAGTGCCCGGTTTCTGTAGCATAGGTGGCATTTTTCTTAAATGAAAATATTAAGAAACCTACAGCTTAGTATAATAAATGAATCTATAAAGTAAATCTCTAAGATCTATAATTTAACAGAAATACAGTACTTAGAATAAAGTTTCCTCTGAAATTTAAAGTGAGAAGAGGAAAGAGAAAAGAATGAAAAAAATTAAACTACGTTAATTAAAATAGCCAGTTGGGAGAACAGTAATAGAAAGGGAAATATGAGCAAATCCCTACTGTGTAGAGAAGCTGGGTAGACTTTACAGTTTGGGAAATAGTAAGGTCTTCCCTACTCTAACCGTGAAATTTAAATCAATACACACCCATGTCAAACAGGTCAGTGTAAAATCTTGGAAAGCTTACCAGACCCAGGTCTACCTGCTGTCATCTGTTGAGCTGTGATTTGCCTGTGAATGCTACAGCATAGCCAAGTCAATGTGTGGTCCAAGCCACGCACCTAAACCCAGACACATTTTTACTATCTATTTTATTTTTATCTCTCTATCTATCTGCCTACTCATCTATCCACCTATCATCTACCCGATCTGCTCCAAATAGACCGCGTTAGTGAGCAGGTCAGGAGGGCGGGCCCGTGGAAGGCAGAACCTTATCATCCCTAGCTTGAAATGCCGCCTTCACCCATCACCACCATTCCTGACTCACTGTTATTAGGACAAAAAATTCCTAGTAAAAAACACTTAAATCATCTCCTGAATTAGGTCAAAAACAGCATTGATAAACGTTGTTAAAAGTTGTTTCTCTCTGCCTAACGCTATATCCTGGAAAGCACTTCTTGTCAGTTTGTATAGACCTTATTCTTTTTTTACAAGTATACCTGCGAAGTACTATATTGTGTGTATGCACTATAGTTTATTCAATCACTCTTCAATGTTAACTATTAAGTTTTTAGTATTTTTTATTATAAATCATGTTGCAATAAATCTTGTGCATGTATACATAGTTTTAGATTTTTATATTGCTGGGCCAAAGGATAAATGCAAATATTCCTTTGCATTGTTAGATATTCCCAAATTTTCCTTTAGAGGAGTTGTAACAATTTTGCATCAGGGAATAACTGTTTTCCAACAACCTCACCAAGAGAATGTATTGTCAAGCTTTTGAATTTTTGCCAGTTGGGATTGGTGTATGTGGCATACATTTACAAAAATGACATAAAGAAATATATCTAATAGTGGATACAGATTTTTAAAGGTAGAAACCATTTGCTTTTGAGTAGATGTGTTCAGCTAGTTAGTGTATCTGTCTCCAGATGTCTTCTTTCTCTGTCACTCAGCTGAGGTTAAGCTCCCTCTCACAGGCCATGAAGGCTGCTTGGCCAGTGGATGTCACTCTAGTGCTGGTTTAAGAGAGTTTCTAGCACAACCCTCTCACTTCACATATTTTAGGGCAATAACTCTTTTAAAATCCCCTCTGTGGGTTCATTACATAACCTAGTCAAAGTTTTCAAGGGATAATCTCTTTTGGAAAAGCCCAAGACTAATAGGTTCAACAGGAGGGAGCTCTGTAAAGGGCTAAAGAAAACCAACTCAGCACTTTCTGATTTAAATAGTGTGTGGTAATTTTGATATAGTTACTAAAATTAGCTAAATTAAGAACTAAATTCATGAACAGTGGGAACTAAACTGTGATCGTGTGGCTCCTTGATATATGCAGATATTAACAGAGTGGCATTTTTGTCCTTGGTGAAGGGGTCTTGCAGGTCCAGAGAACTAAACTTCAACGGACCCCTTCCCAGCCAAGGGCAATGGCTTTTTTGCCTACAGCAGCCTCCAAATGTGAAATGCAAACAACTTAGCTTAGCTCTTGCAGTCCCTCTCCCTCTCCTAACATTACTGTCATAAAACTGATCTTTAAATGAATTCCCAAAGCATTTATGCATTAAGAAAAATTGGCAAGGATAACCTTAAGGACCAGAGAATCCTGGCATTATTACTATGTGGAGTAAAGAGAGATTGTAACAGATTGAGGATATTGAACTATATCTTTAATATTTATTGTTGTTTACATCAAAAAGCAGGTAATTTTGAAGTAAAAAGTAAAGGATTAAATTAAGAAAAGGTTAAGTTCACAGAGCTGTGTTATTTGTAATCAATAGCAGGCATATTTGTTATCAAAATTCATGAAATGTCACATAGATGATATTTTAATAGATATTTTACCAATAGAGTCCCAGCAGAAAAATGATAGCATACTCAAATTAGGCTACATCAAAATGGTCCTAAGAGTCTTAATGAAGACCACAAAAGATTAGTTTTAGTTAAGAATAGCCAAACTCCCCATTATAGAATAAGATCAGTTGTCAGTAAACGTAGCCATATTAATAAAACTGACAACAAATAAAACCCCCTGAGATCTGGTATTGATAGTTAAGTCTCTCTTTATGACAACCGTTAGCCAGATGTGGCTAAGAAATTGTCTCCATTCTGAGTTTCTCTCCTTGCGCGGCGGCAGTCCTGCTGGATTGTCGCCTGCAGGCTCAGGCCTGCTTGGGTCGTACAGCCTTTATTGCAGTGGCAGACAGTGCGCAGTTCTTGCTTATGCTCGCATCCCAAGGTCCTCTGAAGTGCAGCCTTCAAGAGGGAATTCCAGGAGTGTCCGCTTCCTTCCACTCTGCTTGTTAAACCACACGTGCCCGCAGGACTGGCTTGCCTCGTTGCACCTGCGAGGTGCTGTGGCTTTTGTGTGTATGTCTAATTTAAGCATTCTGAATTTTCTGGCCATGAACTCCCTGTTCTTCCCACAAACAGTTATAGAGAGAGAGATTTTCAAACCCGCTCTATAAATAATGCACTATTTTTTAAAGGGAAGAATAAGCTGTATGGCTAGTAAAGGATGACCGTGAGCTTAGAAGGGTTCCCACTTCAGTACCTTCTATTTCTTGAGAATGAATTTCACTAAGTTTGCCTAGCAACCTTGAATGTAGGAGTTGAACAGGTAAATCACTTGCAACTGTTTGAGAGAAATAGTATTTTATTTAAAACTTTTGAAACTTTTTCAAAAGCTGAAATTTAAAATCAGCTAAGAGTTCCTGAAGAATCTATGGCCATTCTATGGAATCTATGGTCTCCTGATGCATTGCAATGAAGCAATCTAGGCCATTCATTTCTTGTAATAGATACACATCTGCCAACTAATTACACACATATAATAATAGTTAATACTCCCGAGTGCCTGCTGGGTGCCAGGCACTGTTTTAAGCACTTTCCTGATACTATCTGACATAATCCTCATAGTAACCCTATGAGGTAGGCACCCTTAATATCCCCATGTTACAGATGATGAATTCCTAGTTATATAACTAGGAAAAGGTAGACTGAGGAAACTGTAAGTAAGCTAGAGTCCTGGAGAATGTAGGCACTCTACCAAGAGCAGGCAGGGTGATCAGTCCCGGCGGACCCACCCAATACTCAGAGAGTATTCCCGGGATGTAACCTGATGGAGGAACCATACGTCTTGAGAGGAGAGCCAGAGGCTCAGGCTAGGCACCCCTTTGTGGGAGAAAGAGTGTATTGATCCTACTAATTGGACCGAGCTAATGAAGAGGTAAAACAAAAGAAACAATAAACCGTGGCAGGGCTTCCTATAACCAGGACTCCAGGGTAAAGAAGGGAGAAGAAAGACTTTATCT